ATGATCTTTGAAGTTCTAACTTCGTGTAAGTGAAAATTTATCATTTTACAGAAAAGAAAATTAAATCTAATAAAACCTCTATCTCTGTTTCTATTATATTTTTTTTTCAAAAATAAGTTTCAATATAAAGTAATTGTTTTAAATCGATATTTCTAATTACTTCGCACTACTCTTAACAATCGAATCGAATTAAAACATGATAACTGAAAAAAAATTTCACATATTATGAACTTTACTAATGATATAATAATATGCTATCATTAAGTATTACTTATATGCCTGTCGCCATTAATTATTAATGAAGAAATCATTACTAAAACCATGTTAAATTTTATTCTCTAATATAATAACAATTTTCAAGGTCTTTCTCAACAATTTTCAAGGTCAAACTTGAACCACGGCTTTCAAAATATACAAAAAAGATTTTAAGAAAAAGAAAACTTATTCACTGATATCAACCTAGTCTATCTTATATGTAGCTATATAAAAAAGAAAGAAAAACGCTATTACGCGGCACCCTGAATTGACTTAGAAGAACCCTAGGAGTCCATGAACCCCAAGTTGGAAGCGATGCTGTATATAATTTTTATAATTATCTTAATAGGAAAAATATTAAAGTTCTTCAAAAAATGTTTGCATGTTTGTACTTATTATCACTACTCTGTCACATTTATACCGCTCAATAGATTTTAATAAAATTTATTCAGCGTCTTGGGCACCTTTGTTTCATTCGTGTTTCTACTGTGAAACAGTTGTGTTTGCATGGCTGTGTTTCAATTTGAAGGGTGGGATATGGCAGTGAATTTACAAAGTACAAAGGAATAACACCTGAGTCCTCAGGAATGGCAACGCATGGGTGTTATCATAGGCGAAACAGTATACTCTGTTGTGTCCATAGTACTACACATGTTTATAGACGACGGTTACCACATTCCATCAGGTAGACCATCAGCTTATTTGCCATCACCAAATCATTATTCTAAAATAAAGAAATAATGAAAACGTGAGTTACTGCTAATGATTCTTTACATGTTTTACTAAACTAGATGTTATTTTACAGAAATCAATATCTCTGGTTAGTCGATTGATAATTGGCGATTGATAACTAATATGGAAAATCGTAAAACTTCTGCTGATAATATTAGTAGTAGTCAATCTTGAACATTTTTTCAACTGTCTTTAAAAAAGGAGAAAATTCTTAACTCGTCTATAATTTTTTATATATGTTACCTTATAACTCCGTTATTTGTAACCCAATTTGTAAAATTATACTTTTATCTGAAAGTATATAGTTTCAGATTGGTCCCATAGAAATATTATCAAAATAGGTTTACTGGTATAAGAATAGTTTTTAAAATCATAATAAATAGTTTTCCCACGACTGATATTGATGTTAATAATTCTCCCTCCACATCATTCATCAACATATTCAACCATGTCTTGACCACTAGTAAAATCATAGGTACTGGTAACATAAAAAATATATATAGAAAAGTAAATAAATAATCCTTTTTAAATAGATTAAAGTTAAAGTAGGGTAGTAAGTAGGTTCTTCTCTAGAAATCTGTCCGATTCTAGAATAAGGGCATACGAGTATGCGACCCGAGTCGCTGCAGTGTCCCAGTCCTTCCGCAACTGCAGTGTCCCTCCCCCCTTTCCTTTCCCACATAAGTCCCTTATTCTTCTATTTATCAATTTCCTTTACACATTTCCAATGTTCCCTTCCTTTTCTTTCCTCAATCCTTTCCTCCATATCGCAGGTGGCGGAAACCACCAACAAATGCATTCCCAAAGAGGGTTGACGCCAGGCAGGCGGCCGATCGTAAAACTAAAAATCAAATCTTTTTGTAATATGGATAAAACCATATTACGCCGACCCCAAATAATAATTGAGATAAGGGTAGGAAGATGATGATGATATATACTAAGTTAAAGTTTACCACAAAGTCTACTCACAACGGCCCAAATGAGAGGCTAAGCGCGAAAAAGAGTATCCAATTTACATTACGTCATGTTATACTAAGTTTATTTTAAATATAATACTTACCCATATGATCGGTAAACACGGAAATTACGCACGGATGAAACCCGTAGAATTTGCAAGATCGCCATTTATTTAGGCAAAGTCGTTAGCTAAACATATCGTCAAATTATTCGTATCCGCCTGAAAAGCAACCTTACACTTTTTTGATAAATTACCTGCATATATTTATCAAAAAACTGCCAAAGCGGAATATTTATTTTCAGTGCGTCTTAAAATTACTTTCGAAATTTATCCATACCAATATGCAATTTATCGTAAATGTATTCACGTTTTCATTGCATCATATATAATATATGAAATATGAATGGTCCCGCTATCGTGTGGTCCCGACATAGAATGGGTCACACCTTCCTTTCCCTTGTCATAAAAGCAACTAAGGGAACATTGGTCGAAGGATGGGCAACAGCATCCCTTTTAAAACATATCCAATGCCTAACTGCGGTTGCCAACCCGCCCACCAAGCATGGCAACAACTGGCAAAACTCCAGTATAAAAAATATAGAGAATGGCCTAAGTACAGCAGTGAACGATTAACAGCTGATATGATAGGGCGTGGTATGGATTATATATTGTGAATCACATTAATTTGAAAGGTATATATATTTAGTAATAAGTTTTTATAATCAAAACCGTCGCATTTCTGTTACAAATTTTATTACCTATTTTCGAAAATCCTACATTAGATAAAAATACAATAATCAAACGTGCAGAAGCATAAAATTACAATGTGTATGTGAAAAGGCAATGTACCGAACAAAATAATTTACCAATTCATCACCAATAAATATTCCCCTTTACATTATTTTGGTACATAGAAATATGAACACTGGAAGTCGACTATTTTTATTAGACAAAACTGATACTCGTATTATCATCGATAATATATATAGCAATACGTAACATACCATTTCTAAGTGCAGCTCTGTTCCCATAATAGAAATAAGTCGGCTTATGTTTTGATCTATCTTAACATGTAATTCCGAAGTTTCGAACCCATTTGCAAACTATGAAACACGTTCATGTTATTTAAATCGGAAATGTCGTCATAATCGTAGAATACTGACGAATATATATATATATATATATATATATATATATATATATATATATATATATATATATATATAGTATTCTAGTTACCTAACCCCAAAATTGAGGTCTAGTTGCATTCAACTAAGAAATTTAGGAAAAATTGTAAAATACAAAGTGAAGGTAGACTGATATTATTTTAGTATACATCACTTATAAAAATTCCCTCTTTTACACCCATCACATTATAAATATGGAGAAGTAAGAAGTGAAGTTAATCTGTACATGGATTTACTTACGAATACGGTACAGTTTATAATAAAACGAAGACTAATTAAACTAAAAAATTTTAAGTCATTTTTCAATCAGAAAAGGCACAAACAAACAAATGATAGATTTATCTCCATGCACCTATATTTTTTTTTTAAATCGAATACTAATTCCATTAAATGACACGTAAATTAATGCACCTACTTATTATGTTATATTTTTTATTTGTTTATAAATAACTTTGTCGACAAATGAAAACATGGTACAAACAATAGACTTAATAACAGTAGTATTATTGTGTTCTCTTCCAGAATAATCTCTAAATCTGTCATGAAATTTTCCATAAGGGTTGTACCTAATTAAAATTCAGCTGGGTTGTGGATCTGTTTGCGGCATATAAATCAGAGAAGAACAGACAAGCCACGATCAGTCTAGCGCCCCTTTCCGCGTATCCATATTGAGACAGTGTTGGCTGTGGAACAATTTGAATTCATTCTCGCTGGGGTTACGAGTTTATTTTGGACCCTGGAGCATTTTAATTAGAGCTATTTCAGTATTATTATTTTGTGAAACGGAAAGCAATCATGAAAGATTTTATTCCACGATTAAATGTCGAAAAGAGTTTTAAACTATAAAAAGTATTATTGAAATCAGTTTAAAAAGTGACACAAATATCGTATATACATGTTACTGTAAAAGACCGTATATTAATAAATCTTAAGTTTTACCAGTACATCTTAAGTAGGTTTTACCAATATCTGTTGGTGAATGTGAGGTTTTTTTTTAAAACAATATCATTTTTGTATCTTTCACAAAACCTAACCTTTCTGATCATGAACACGCATATCGCACTGAACATGTCTAAAACTAAGTATGCCTTGCACTGTAAAGATGGATGTGTGTGTATGTATGTATGTTGTGTATTTGTGTGTGTGTGTGTGTGTGTGTGTGTGTGTGTGTGTGTGTAACGAGAATTTTATTAACTTACTATGTTTGTCGTTTCCGACAATTGATTCGACTTCATCCAGAAGTTCAAGAAATTAACATAAGTTTTAAAAATAATCGAATGATTTTTTGCTCATTCTTTACATAATTTTGATTAGCAAACTATCTGACATCTCATGTAATATCTCAAGTACTAAAATTCCATAAACCACAATGTGAGATTTATGGTAATCCTAAGCGATGCCACACTTGATGACCAAGATGTTATACTAGAAATTCATCCTGAGAAATAAATTCCCCTTCGCATAGGTGTCATAAGAGGAGATTAAGGAATTTAAACGGTTGAGGGATGAACGACAGGGACTCTCTTAAAACATCTCCAAAGCCTAACTATGGCTAGCAACATGCCTGCCAAGTGTGGGGACCACTGGCAAAATCCCCCCCTATTGAGAGGCCTATGTCCAACAGTAGACAATTAATGGTTGATATGATTGAAAAATTAGATATAAAATAAATGCGCACACAGTATTACATTTTGTTACTATTATGTATGTTTATATATATAGATTTTATTACTAATATATATAAACATACGTTATATAGATAAATATATAATTTATTTGTGTCACTTACAGCACACAAATAACATCAGATATTGATAAACACTTAAAAAAAATACATATACAAAAAAAAACAAAATGAAAATACAGAAAAGAGGTAACATCATTTAATGTTTAATCATTAGCATTACCTTTTTTAGTTCCAAAATATTTTTCGTACATATCACGAAATTCTTTGTATGTATCACTGACATCTACTTTCGTTGCATCTCTCGGTTTGCCACTTTTGTGTCCACAGTAGCACACGTGGTCTTTGCCGCAAAACGCCGGTTTTCCGGCTTTCATACAAGTTCTAATACATGCCCTTGCATAATCCAAGTTCGGACAGAAGTGCGCTATATGGTGTCGTAAAGTCGACCGCGGTGCATACTGGGCGCTATCCATTCTCTTTAATTCATTGAAGAGTTCGGCCTTAGCTATTTTTGTAGTAAAAAAATTTCTATTAATATCCCATAATATCCCACTGTGCATAAGTATTTCTCTATAAGAGGAAATTATTAGATCGCTATCTTACCATGTCGATAAAAGTTATAATTATTAAGCTTATCTCAAAGGGTGGGGAGAGAATTATTATTAATGGTGACTAGCAATCCCGCTTCTAGTAATATAAGATATAATATTGATAGCCAGATCGCCCCTACTTCTTGTTAGATTCGTCACGACACCGTCTGACCTAACCTCATCTTATTTTGAATTCATCACAATGAGCCAACTTACCTACTTCATCCTCACCCTTCTCATTGGTGCCTCCAGTGTGTGATAGTGCAGGGTCACTATTTTTTTTATTGGATGAAAATGGGACGGTAACCCCGCCTGCGCTAACAGGATACGCTGGCGGAGCACCAGTGAAGGGAGATGAGGATGAAAACAGGCCAGTTAGCCCATCATGATGAATTCATCTCGAATTAATCATGATAGTTTCCAGGGAGAACCGGGAGGAGGTAGACCTAGTTGGGTATAATGCTAGCAATGGGATTCTCAGTCTCCATTACTAACAATCCCTTTCCCCCCGCAGGGTCACTATTTCATTTTCATCCATTAAAAAATAACCTCATTATTTACCTATCACTCCTTACTGGTACTTTGTCAGTGCATACCAATGCAAAACAAGTGGAACTATCAATCTAACTATTCAATATTTTATAATTAAAGATTGAATCTCACAAAAAAAAGACATAAATTGTGTTAAATTCAGTTTGATTTAAAAACTAAACCACTGAACTGATTTTCTATAAAACTTCTATGAGACCAACCTGTAAGTATACCATTTCCGATAAAAAACAATGGTTTATAACTAAGCATAAAAAAATACAACTCAACTGTAATTCTCCTTCTTTTTGGAGTCGGTTGAAAAAGAAATCATGATGCGAATTAAACGAATGCTAACATTAGTACAAATTATAATTTTTGTACCAAGTTTAGTATTAATGAAATAATTAATTGTATTGGTTATAAAGCTTACTGGTCGTTTCCGTGTACTCATCGAAATCGGAGTTAGCATCCTTGTCGATTTCGTATCTGTGGTAATTTTCACCTGTAATTCATTATTAATGTAATTTAAAATAATTATAAAATCTGTAGTCTGATTCTTTGTCTTGTACCTATTCCATAATTATAAATAATAATTATAATAAAAGTAATAATTCAATGGAAAATAAATTTAGTTGTTTTTTTTATATCTTTACTTTTATATATCGCAAACTTTGCAAATTGAAAAAAAGTTATGAATTAGTAAAATCTGAATTAAGAAATTTCCGCTTCCTTTGTAACATCGTTTTGCTATTAAATATTACACACTTTTTGTGAAAAAATATAAATTCTGTTTTGTTCAAATTAATATGAAAATAAATCATGGTAGTCGGTTCTCAATCTGGGCAAATGTAACGTACATATTGTTTGTCGAACAATTTTTTTAATGTATGTACATTAAAAAAATTGTTCAAAATTTAATGTTTGAATAGATTAAAAAATTCACAAATGAATCATATTATGCGTTAATTTCGTAATTCCAATTTTTTATTGTATATAATAATCGATGAACCGACAGCCAATGGGGAATGAAGGTTCTTGAGTGGCGACCCCGTACGGGCAAACGCAGTGTAAGTCGACCTATAATTAGATGGAGAGACAACGTCAAATGCAGTGAGTCAGTGGATACAGGTAGCTCGAGACCATTCCTTATGGGTCATCAATCTATGGGTGAGGGCTTTGTTCAACAGTGGAAGGATAATGGTTGAAATGATAATAATGATATAATACTGTAATTTTTTTTTTTTACAACACAGGGGGCAAACGAGCATGCGGCTCACCTGATGGTAAGTGACTACCGCCGCCAATGGTCACCCACAACACCTACGGCATTGCAGGTGTGCTGCCGGCCTTTTAAAAAGGAATATGCTCTTTTCTTGAAGGTTATGTTATCGTATCGGTTAATAAATCATAATACCGTGATAGTTTCCCAACAGTGGACTAACACAGAAGCATTTTCCAAAAGCACACGCATTATGCCCACCGCACTGGACATAGCATAAGTACTGGTTAACAATATTCCCACACGATTCTTGCGGACGCAACATTTTCAGTGCATCACCGAAATAATAGTCTAAAGTTATGTCTGGGACTGAAAGCAAATTAAATAAATAAAAAAGCATAATGAAAGTAGAAACAACCTAAAGCCTAAATAGAATAACATTCTATTATATGGTGTAGGTTAACTACATACATAATTATTAGATAACCACTGCTATGTGCTACTTTAACTGTGTGTACATTTTGTTAGTAATGGAGACTGAGATATATATACCCAACCAGGTCGTCCTATTTCTCCCTGGAAACTATCATGGTTAATTCCTGATGAATTCATTATGACCGCTATATTGATTCGTATTAAGCCATAAAAGCCAAGTCATAACAACGCATTAAAAATTAATACGAACTAACAAATTCTATTAATTAAAAATCTTGTTAACAAAGTTACTTCAATACGGAGCTAACTACATCAATAGAGCTAACATTTTTTATAGGGAAATCATAATGTTGAGTACTCTAGTAGCTTTGTCCCGTAGCTTTGTTTGAATGAACTGGAATAAAAAGTATTAATCTAAAATACAGTTTTTTTCTTTATACGAAAAAATAACAAAACTAATGTTCTGCCGCATTTGAAGTTAATGTTTTTATGTCTATCAAATATATCAAACCAATAAAAATATAAGTAAATATATTTTAATTTAAAAAATAAACTACTAAAATAGTTTTAATAGACATTTTATGGAACTAATTTGAAATTATATCCTTTCAGATAAAAAAAGTCTTTTTTTTAAATCGGTTTATAAATATTCTGAGATAACGAACAAAAAATACAATCAAATTTAGAACCTACTCCTTTTTTAAAGTCGGTTGAAAATAAATCAAATTTTACAATATAACTAATATAATATTCTTTAAAATATAATATTACTGTCTGGTAGATTGAAAACTATTATTTTCTTCACTTACCTCCATTTACTACAGCAAAGCCAAACAATAAGCAATAATACGCTACAAAATGTACTTTCACTAAGGCCATTATGGTGTGAACGTTACTAATTTCATACAAGACTATTCATTGGGAATGCTGTTCAATAAATGAGTTTTTTAATTTGTTTTTCGTCACAGTTACAGTCATAGTAATTGAAATGTTACTTTGTGTTTATCTTACACGTATATTAACAATTACTGAATATGACTATTTCCGATAAAGATTCTCTATCAGTAACTAGTTTTAAATTTAATCATTTTACCTTCTTTAATATCCTTTTTTAACCGGCATTAAAAAGAAAGAAGTTCGAAATTCGTTTGTATGTTTTTTTTAATGTTTAATACCTCTTAACTCCGTCAGTTGCAAAAATTTTTTTTCTGACAGAATATCCTTAAACATTTTTCCCATAGAAATTTTATTAAAATCGGTACAGTAGTTTATTTTTAAATCAAAATCATTGATTATGCCACAATTGAAATCGTTTTTCTTTGTGATAGTTTTAATTATTTAAAAACTTAATTTTTTTTTATACAACTTAGAATGGCAAACAAGCTAATGGACGACCTGATGGAAAGTGATAACCGTCGCCTATAGGTACATGAGCAGTACCATGCACATAACAGAGTATACTGTTTCGCTCATGCGTTGCCATTCATGAGGACTCAGGTTTTATTCCTCTGTACCCAGTAAATTCACGCCATATTCCACCCTTCAAACCGAAACACAGCCATACAAACACAACTGCTTCACGGTTGAAACACGAATAAGACAGAGGTACCCAAGTAAAACGACTTTTCACAAAGTCTCCTTCTGATTATTATTAAAGGCAGAATGTACAAGAGTGATTTAATTGAGTACCTTGCTTTTTTATTCAAAAAAATGAAATGATGTACCAATCTAAACTAACGGTAAGTATACAATTATGGGACACTAGTATCTCTATTAATATAAAATTATGAAATAATAAGGAGAATGAGGTTATTGACCTTATTTACCAGGAATTAAGCACGATAGCTTCCAAGATAGATCGTGCAGTTGTCGATCTAACATGATATATTGCAACAATGGGGACTACATTCCCATTACTAACTATCCTTTGCCTCCTGTGTTCTTTATTTCTGCTACTAATCAACTATGCTTACATCACATTATTTCAATTTGAAGGGTGGTAAATTGCATAAATGCTTTGAAATTACAAGCATAATATTTTAGTACTCAAGAATGCCAACTTATTAAGCCCATTAGCGTCGCAGTATATTTCGTAATGTCCATGATGCTATTTATATTTATAGGCGATGGTTACCACTTTCCATCAATTGGGTCGTTGGGTCAGCCTGTCATTCCATGTTGCATAAAAAATACTATTTCTCAGAGTGACCACTCAAATCATTAAGTAAAGTAAAAAACGACACCTACTTATTATGCCCTTTATATAGTACTACACTCGGCTAATTACCCATTTAGAAAGTATATGACAGTGAATTTACAGGTTACAGAAGAATAACACCTGAGTCCTCGTGGGGAAAGGGATTGTTAGTAATGGAGACTGAGAATCCAATTGCTAGCAATATACCCAAATAGGTTGACCTCCTCGCGGTTTCCCCTGGAAACTATTATGGTTAATTCCTGATGAATTCATCATGATAGGCTAACTGGCCTGTTTTCATTCTCATCGATCACCCTTCACTGGTACTCCGCCAGCGTATCCCATTAGCGCAGGCGGAGTTACCATACCATTTTCACCCATAAAAAAAACACCTAAGTCCTCAGGAATAGCATTGCATGGGGAATATCATAGGTGAAACAGTATACTCTGATATGTCCATGGTACTACTCATGTGTTTAAGCGACGGTTACCACTTTCCATCAGGTGGGCCGTCAGCTTGTTTACCATTCTAAGTTGCATAAAAAAAAGAAATAGTATACCATAAAATATTACTAAGAGAATGATCAGTCAGCAATTTTTGTTTGCAATTTCTATAGTATCTAAGCATTACACAAAAGCGGACCTCACCGCCCCTCTCTAACAGAGTACTTGAAAAAAATCCTTTGACACTGGGTAAGGCAGTAATTGGCTATTAGAGGTAATTTGCTGCCATGCTGCTAGGAATCCAGACTTGCCTCCGGGCAACCAGTGGCGACATTTATTTCTTTCATTTAGGAGTTAGAATTAAAACACCACGCTATTTTATTTATATATATATAATATGTTTATACTTACCTCCCTTTTTTTTATACAACTTAGAATGGCAAACAAGCTGACAGCCCATCTGATGGAAAGTGGTAACCGTCGCCTATAGACATGAGCAGTACCATGGATATAACAGAGTATACTGTTACGCCCATGATACCCCCATGCGTTGCCATTCCTGAGGACTCAGGTGTTGTTCCTCTGTACCCTGTAAATTTAGGCCATATCCCACCCTTCAAACCGAAACACAGCAAACACAACTGTTTTACGGTTGAAACACGAATGGGACAGAGGTACCCAAGCAAACGACTTTTGTACAAAGTCTCCCTCTGGTAAAGTCTCCCTTATGGGGTGGTCTATGTTCAGCAGTGGACAGTTAACAGTTGAAGTGATAGATGTGTCATCTAAGTCTACAATCTCATAAATTATATATACACATCCTATAGATACTTTTTCCTTTGGTGTTCTCAAGGTTGACTGAAAGAAATTCTTTTAAGGAATAAGTCTGCCTGTGTGTATTTTTGTTATAACCTAATTTCTATATTAAAAGTGTATGTACAAAAATAAAGAAATAAATGATTCAATTTATGAAATAATTGATTTAGATGACATGAATACGTATATTCATGTTTGTATAAATAAACTAGCTATTCCCAACAGTTTTGCTCGTGTTAAAGTTTATAAAAATATTTACATATTTATATTTTTATTACATAATTACGTATAAACAAATGTAAATGAAATTTGGTACGCCGGATAGTTATATCCCAACTTAATACATAGAATACTTTATAAGTTTATTCGTGCAAGCAAATGTATTCAGCTATATAAGCGTTATTGAGTAACAGCCATCCAAATAAATGTCCAAACATCTTTGACATTTATAATATTGGTACAATATCACACACGAACTGAGATAGAAAAATAAGCTGTAGACAAGAAAGTAGCAAAAATGTACAGAAAATGTACCTGCAACACGAGTAAATAAATCCGAAGCAACGAAACGGAAAGAAAGAAATACGGACAAGTAAGACAAGACGGCCACTGCAGCTAGATTCCTCTGAAATAGTTGAGATTTCTATTTTAAGGACTTTTCTATTTTGGATTTTGCAGCTATAAATACTGTAAATCTTATTCATGGCTTTAAATATTTTGAACTCCATAACTAGCGCATCTTTTTCATAAATTACAACAAGTCTTGTGAAATGATACGAATCGTCCATTCAAATTGTAGTCATTTTTTAAATGACAATTTTTAGTATTTTACAAGAATGAAATCAATCATTTAAAATAGTTAACAATAATAAATACAATAAATACATAATAAATCAGCTTTTATCTTTCCAAGTTATTCATCCGTGTATTCTAAGCTTCATAACAATTAGTTAAATTGTTAAGGCACCAGGATTACCTCCAAATAATCAAAGTAACATGTTATAAATAAATTATGCTACTTTTATGCCGATAGGAATGAAATAAATATATAAAATCATATCATATATACTGCCACACAAAAGTATGGCAGATTGTCTTCCCATGAAAAGAGATCAATGCCCAATAGTGGTAAGTTAATTATTCATATTATGGTAAAAGATTTTATACTTATAGATAGATAAATGCATAGATACTCTTTATTGTTTCCTACAAAAAATTACAGTGGTAAACTTATTATAAATACTAACGATTACAAGAAATGATCATACTGATAAAACACTTTATACCACATTATAATAACTACATTATACACACAGATAGGTAACTATTTTCACCATGAAACAGCTAGGCATGCTTTGTAGCATTTGATAAACTCTGATACAATAATAATTTAAGATTTTATTTATTAATGAGCATACCGACTTAAATTATGATATACCAGTTATTTTGATTTAAAAACGATAAACTAATAATAATAAAAAAAAATCTATAAGACCAATTTGAATTTTATCTATGTATCTTATCTATAAAGAAAGAATTTTTCAAATCGGTTTATATATGACGGAGCTATAAGGTTACAAATATAAAAAATATAAACGAACTGAGAACCACCTTCTTTTTTGAAGTCAGATCAAAATTGCAACTTAGTATTAATCTATAAGTGTAATGGATTAAGTACCTCCACATGTTATAATATTCGAGGTATGGTTTCTGTCCGTGGACATCTATTTTCACTTACTATCAAGATAGCCATTAATTTGTTTATAGATAACACCTAAAATCTTTAAAAAAATAATTAAAACTTCTATGTCAAATCGATAGTAAAGAGAGTCTTACAGCTGCATTGCTATCAAAATACTCTATAATGTCCTCCACGCGATTCTTTTTGGAATAATAGAAATTAATTCTTGTTTAATTTGTCTCGATGGGCTAATGACCTACTTTCATCTTCAACTATAATCTCTCACTAGTATCCTGCCAGATTATGCCGATAGCACAGGCGGAGTTACCATGCCTTTTTTATCCATTTAAGAAAAACTATAATAAATGTGTCCATTGGGAAATGTAGAATATGCGACAAGGACTACGTCAAACAATCTAAGTTATGTCCAATTACAGTAAAATCTAAACGAGTCTCTAGTGGATTGAACTTCATTTCCCCACATAGAAAGTGAAGTATTTCTTCTATACTTTGATTGATGCAATGGAGAAGCGACAAGCGATATATGTAACTATAATAAATAAATTTAATTTTTACAGGTAGGTACATTTTCTTTCATAAACAAAAACACCGACTTCCAAAGTGAACACAGACAGAGAGAAAGAGAAATTTATAGACAGACTAGACTTTTGTAAACAGATGTGTGACTTTACTTCGTAACAACCATGTTTAAGTTCCGAAAGAAAACCGACTTTAACCGTCATAAAATTTGAGGAGACCAATACATTGATTGGAAAAATAATTATCAAAATCGATTCTGTAGTATATATACACACAATATATATATATATATATATATATATATATATATATATATATATATATATATATATATATATAT